TCGGTGATACGAGACTGTGGTACTTACCTGATTGGAGACTTGGAGATTGTTGAGGTTGATACTCGGCTGCATCACAGTTGGACACCGGTTACATCTGGACTCTGTTATCTCCGACATTGGTGACCTTTGGTCCTCGACATTTTGATCTTGTTATATGACATTCTGGACAACCATTTCGGAGACCTATCAGACTCTGTCTTTGTGACCTATCGGTGTGATCTACCTCCTACCTCCTTCGTCTCTCCTCCCACCTTTCATCTGTGTATGTGTGTACGGGATCTGGGTATCGTCTATGAATGACCCAGACCCCACCATCTCATGATTGTATGTGTGTGGAGTGATGCTATGTGAGTCAGTCCGTTTATCAGACTTCCATTGCATCTATACTCATCCTACATTGGTTGATTCTTGGTTCTGCCCATACTCATTGGAGTATGTAACAGTTTTGGTATCGGAGCAGACCAATAACGGATCTGCTCACCAGGTAAGTCCGTTTAGAAGTAGATTATTCATTTGATCTTCTAAATCGGCGCTGAAGTATTATCAAGTTCAAAGTTGCAAATTTTCTTTTTTCGGTATTCTGGCTATTTCAGCATTTCCGTTTCAATTCAGTATTCGGACTTTTATTCGGATTTCTGTTGTACACGGTATGCTGTTTAATTAGATCCGAGAGATTGATACTAATCCAACATTCTGTTTGATTCGGATTTCTGGTTAAGTAATTCGTAATTAGGGTTGAATCAGTATCATGTTTGAAATTCGGGTTTTCTGATTTTCATTCAGCATTCCGTTTTTCGGCATTCTGTTGTAAATCCTATATTTCGCTTTCTTTTGAGATTTCCGTTGTCTTTCAGTATGGGAATTAGGGTTATGAAAATCTTTTGGTTTTAGATCAACTTGGGGAAACTCGAACGTTTTGGGACCGTAAATCCGGAAATTTCGCCGAAACGCGGAAATTAGGGTTGGGACCGAAATTTTTCGCGAATTTTTTTTTCGTTCTCCTTGTTTGAGAAATTCCGAAAATAGGTTTAGGCTTTTAAAAATCGGATTTTGACGGTGGAAATTCCTGAAAATTCGCATTTTTGAAAATTCGAGCGTTTTTTCTTCTGAAATTTTCCGAAATTTTTTTAGCACACTAAGCCGTATCTGACCCTCTGCAACTTCCGGGTAGTTCACTCAGTAACGGTGAACTCCCGGACTCAAAGTGATCTCAAAGAGATCTAATCATAATACCTTTCAAATTCGTTTATTAATTGGTTATCTTTATTACAAACATTGTTTTACTGATAATCATTAATTGGTTATCTTTATTACAAACATTGTTTTACTGATTATCATTCGGATTTATTTTGTTAATTATAATTAATTAATTTTATTGATTAAACCGTTATTAATTCCTTATTACGAATTTTTTGAAGGGTTTACGGGAAATTTAATTTCTTCCGTTTGATTAGGTGTCTACAGTCCATCAGTGGGACAGGGGATTGTATGTATATTGCTYGAYTGTTCTACCCCTGTTCCCACTCTCCCTACCCCCCTGTATTCTGTGAACACCGGCACCTCTCAAGTACCGCATCAGTTCAGACTGATGTCGACGGAACAGGACACCGGGGCACTGCCACGGCGCAGTGCCAGGATCGCAGTTCGTGCCCGCCCTGCGGTACCTCCAAGACCCAAGAGATTCAGCAGACGGACGACTCCAGCGGCATCAAGTACGGCATTGATAGTACAAGACACCACCGGAGATTTTCCCGCATGCCCGGTCCAAGAGGCCAATGAGCCGTTGGCTGACTATTTTGGGCGACTACAGGTATTTACAG